CTGCATGCATGTATATCGTTGATAGCTCACTGTACTCTGTTCCAATAGGAAAATTTACACAGAAGCACACGACACTGAGTAAAGGATGCTTTTTATTCGTAACGAAATCTGTTTGAAATTTGAATTTAGAGAGCTTTTTGCTTTGTTGTGTTATGCTGTGTTACTGTGCATTTACGATTATAAAAACAAGATACAAAAATGTGATAAATTTAAATTAGAAATGATAAAATACGAACAAAAATGTATGCACACATAAATACAAAATGACTGCACGCAGCATAATGCTACGCAAGGCAAGGTTGCAGAAAAAAATGTGACGTCAATGAAGCAAAAACGGAATAAGAATTTTTTTGGTATGCAATTTGCCTTTATATACACTTGTTATTGGTGTAGTGCTGTTGTTGTTTTCGTTGATATAGTTGGCGCAGTAGTTGTTATTGTACATTAGATTGCTTTGCTTTGTTGTTATTGTTGTTGTTGTTGATTCTGGTTCTCTTTCCTTAAAAAATATTTTCACATTTTATCGCACTTGTTGTTATTGTCGTTAAAGCTGCTGTTTCTGTTGCAATCGACGCTTGTCGCTGTCATTGTGGTTTTTCCTCCTTTTCAATTTATTTTTGTAAACTATTTTTTTTATTTTTATTTCATTTTGTTTTATTTTTTTTTATTTTCTATTTTTTTTTCCTTTTTCTATGGTTTACACATCGATTATAGTAAATCCTTTCTGAAATGCATTTACTTTTACTGCTGGATATTATGGCAGTATTAAAGCAAGAAAAATGAATCAATCAGACGCGTATCACGCCAAACATTACACATACAGAACAAAGCGCACAAATAAACTGTGCACATACACACATACTCTCGTAAAATAGAGAGATTGATTGATACCTCATTACGTAGGGTGTGCTATTACCAGCATAGCTAACAATATTTCTTTGTGTAAGTGCACTTTTTGTGCTCCATTTTAGCACTAACTATTGTATACAAGAATTGTTTTTATTTATTGCAGTTTTATTTTTATTATTTAATTAATTGCAGTCTTTATTTTAGTTTGTGATTACAGTCATATGATAAATAAAACCATATTCGTACATTTATATTTTTATGATATAGAAAATATAAATTTGTACTTTAATTTGGCTTTAATTATTTTTATTACATTTATGCATTAAACAACACAAAAAAACTTTTTATTTACATTTCCAAGTAATTAGTATGGCAAAATGAACTAAAAAAGCTATAACGACAAAAGAAAGGGTAAGATAAACGTCTTTTCGGACAAAAAAGAGGGAATCAGAATAAAATGAGCACAATGGTTATAAGCCCGGAGTTAATTCCAGCAAATATGTCCAAAGCATGCTAAATATTTGGAGGGATCACTTTTTGAAACTACTAAATGGCGAGTTTTCAGTCGTTAACGATGGAACAATCCTCGCACCTCCGTGCCATAGCAAAGTTGAAACAACTACAACGCTGCTCAAAAACAACAAAGCTGCAGGCGCCGATATTTTACCGGCTGAACTGTTCGATGCTGATGTCAAAGAGCTTTTTAAATACGTACGACAATTTATTCGCAAAATATGGTCGGATGAATGCAATATGCAGTTGGAATTTAAGTGTACTTTGCCGAATCCTTAAAAAAAAAGTGATCTTGTAAACTGCGCCAATTACAGCGGGATCAGTTTTTTATTTATCGCACATAATATACTCTCAAACATGCTATGGAAAACATTGAAGCCAATCAACCTTATTAGTGTTTTCTATTATTTTAAAGCCACTTTCAACACTACGACTAGAAACATTCTTCATGCCGCTGTCTGTACGTATCCCAGTATTCCTCTGCTGCTTGCGTATGCCGACAATATTGATTTGCTGGCCAAAACACCTTTACCGTCAGTGAGGCTTTTTCCTTTCTGTCAGCAAACAAATTTCCTGAGCATCTTAGGACCCAAGTTACTCTTAACAACAATAATTTCATAGTTTAAATGAATTTTTATATTTGAGAACCAGTGTAAACAGCAAAATGATGAAAGCCTGAAGATTCAACGAACAATCACTCTTACCAACATTTGTTACAAATATAAAAAAAATATGTGACAAATAAAAATCACGCTCTACAAGTCTCTTATCATGCCTTCCCTGCTGAAGCTTGGAGAATTGCCAGCGGTGATGAGGTGTTAGGAGCTCTCAACATAAAAATTTTTTGGAAGATCTATGATGTCTTATTTATTCTTATTCTTATTCATAACAAGTATTAGATGTACCAATTTAGATGTATTAGGATTAGATTTACAAATGAGTTACGTAAGTGTTACCGTAATATTTACATAATTAAGCGCATAAAAATTCAACGACATGCTGGTTAAGTAATGTTATGCGAAGGAAAGATACTGTTCCAGCTAGAAAAATGTTCGATGCTCCACCCGCTGATGGAAATTGCAGTAAAGTACGTTCACATCTTCGGTGAATGGACTAGGGGACCAACAATATAAAGGCACTCGGTACTGCCAATTGGCGATCGAAAGCCACTGATTTGGTTTTCTGGCTGACTGGTGGAAGCTACTAGACGCTGCTAATGACGACCAATGTCTGTAATAGTCAACTAAGGAAAATAATTAAGAAGGTTAAAACTATTTGCGAAATAAGTACATCTTTAAACGACTTTTTTCTCACAACATTCAATGCTTAAGGAAGTAATGTATTCAGCCCTGAAATGTCATCTTTCCGATAATATTTTCTAATGGCATAGCGTAACGTTACATATGAGTGTGTGATCTAAACTATGAAATACTTTTTCAAATTCTGTGGATATCGCGTTTACAGGAAAGAACAATTTAAATTATTTTTAAACTATAAGTTGAAGCTTTTTTCAATAATTACTAAATTTAATTAATAAATTTAAATCTGGTAGTTGCAAAATCGAATTAATATTTAAAATTTATATTGATTTTGAAATATCTTACGACGAAAACGTAATAGTGATGTTAACTAACAAAGACGATAGTACTTTCATCAAATAACAAAGTTATTAAATTTCTATTGCCGTTTGTCAAAGAAGTATGGAAAGTACCAAACTTTGTTATTAATCCTACAGTTAAATTCAGAAAATATGAAATTGCCTGGAGCACACTTATAATAAACAAAATGTACTACAAGTACAAAATATTGCTTTTAAGTTTGCATATAACAGAGATGCATCACAAACCATTCTCAGAATTTTTGGCCTCTTTTGAACTGATAATGAACTGAACTAAACAAATCAAAATGCAGTAAAGAAAGTAAAAAGCTGCTATACATTTTTTAACGAAGTTCCGTGAAATTTGAATATTCAACTACAACCTTTATGAAGAGTCATTTTGCAGACGTGATCTCTGATAGAAATTTAATAGCTATTATATAGTTTCTAATAAAAGATTTTAAGTAGCTTTTTGAAACGTTCTGGGCTTACTTTTAATTAAAAACAAATATGTATTACTGAAAAAATCTGTTGTTCTTACTAATTTGAAACTGTTCATAGATATATGGTATATAGTGACAAAGATGGTTGAAGATCTTCGTCTTCAAACATCTTGTTGCGTATGTGTATCGTATTTTTAAAAGTTACATATATGCACTAGTATTTCCAATTATCGTCACACTAAAGAAACACGAATATACTTGAATAGATCCAAAAGTTTAAATAATCAGAAATGTTCAATAAACATTTTAATGTTATAATTTGAAACAACATTTTAAAACATTTTCATCAAAAAGTACAGAGAAGATTTAAATTGAGAAACAGTTTTCGTATAGGCAAAGTATAAGTTTGTGCTTTCGCAATTGGGCGAACCAATTCATGTGGCCAATTTGTAAGACTAAGAACCAAATCGTTATAGACGAGTTATAACCAACTAAACCCTGAGGTTTTTAGTATTTATATACGGCATCACAATGGGCCAATAGGCCTAAGTGGATCCACTAGGGATCACCGGTATAACCTAACCTAACCTAACCAACTAAGTACTCATAAGTCATCCTAAATTACAAGAAGATACAGTATTATAAGATATTTTGTGATTAATTAATAATAGATATAAGTTATTCTGGGACAAAAGTCTTTCAAAAAAATTTCATTAATTGCAAATTGTGGTAGAAAGCTGTTTTGTTGTATTTCTCTTGAAAGACCAAATAACCAGTCTGACAAAAGATCGCAGCCAGAATAGAAAGATTTTTTTAAAAACGATCTTTCGCAATATTTTTGAGTGTGGTGAGCTGTAGAGAGAGGTTATATTTCACATATTATAACAAAGTCCAAATACAATATGTATTACAATATAAAAACGAGCCATAATATGAATAATTTTGTGTAAATTAGTTCTTACAATCCAATCCTCCTTACCAACGCATACTATAAGAAATAGTTAGCACACATTGACACACTACAATTGGAACGAATGATAAAAATAAGTGATATGATATGATATGATAATATATAGTGATATAAATTATAACAAAAATGGTACAATGAATCATATCATATGAATGCAAATCTTTTTTTAGAACACATATAAATAGTAAATGAGGTATAT